CAGTATTTAAATATCTTCAGTCGACAGTTTTCGAGTCTTGCTGATGCTTCCTGTTGTTGTCAGTGTCTTTTGTTCATGCATGTGTCAGCGTGCTGCTGCCTCCTGGTGGTTTGTCCTGGTATTTGACCTGCAGGATTCATCTCCGTGAGACCTGCAGCTCCTCTGTGAGTCTCTGCTCAACAGACTAACGTGGAAACGTCTCTGAACGCTTTCTGAAGTTGAACTTTGACATTTCTGTCCTGCAGAGCATCACATGAAACACCACAGCTCAGCTCCTCAGATGCAGCTCAAATGTCCATCTAAAAAGTTTTATTTTGCCCCAACACACATTCGTCCATACATCATCCATTCTGTGGCTGGACCTTCCTTCAACCACAGCGCAGGTTTCTCTTTACTGTCAGGGGCGGATCAAGAGAAATTTTCTTAGGGTGGCATGGAAATGAAATGGGGTAGCAAAACCAAAGCCTTCTTTTAAAAACCCACATATGCAGGTGTTACATGTGGTTAAAATAATTCAAATGCAGTACACGTTTTATATAAATATAGTCTATAACCTAATTATTGTCTGTAGCTCGCATAATTAAACATCTCAGTTACATAAAACATGTGAATGTTGGTGTTGTGTGCTGTGTAGCCCGTATGATAAATAAATTTGTGGCCCAATAAGTAGAAAATCCAGAAAGCTACACAACATGCGGCGGTTCATTTACACACACAGTCTAAATTAAGTTTCACAGTTTTTTTGTTAGAAAAAAAATCAAATTGTTATGTGAAATCTGCACTTTCATGAACAAAAATTTAAACCTGATTTTTCATGATTTGCTGGGTTAGCTTAATAATTAAACAAATTGTTTAATTATTTTTTCCTCGCCTTGTTTGGTGTCATCTCTCCGGCTCAACCTCACGTGTCTGAATTTACAGTTATTTTTTCATTGGCATGCTGTAGCAACACAACTGATCTGAAATCTGAAATCACACAAAAACATAAAATCCTAGTAGTAGTTTTTTTTTGCTGTAAAAACCACAGACATGTTTAGTAAATTATTTTCATAACTTGAAATGCAAATATAAATTGTACATTTTGAAAGCTTATGCACAAATTTTGTAAACAATAAAGTTATATACAACTATTTATTTAAACACGCAGCCGATGCAGCTGGCTTCTTTTTTTTTTTAAATTTAGTACAACCATTTAAAAATACTGTAACTAAAATGAGAGAACAATCAGGTGTCACAATAACAACCCCCACAAATTATTTGTGCTGTAAAAAAAGAAGTAAAGAAAAAAAGAAAGAAATTGTCCCCACAGAGGAGAACAGCACAAACCTGCAGGCCTGACAGCGGGAGATGTATCACTGCTCCGGTTTTCCATGGAGACAGAGTTTACACCGTAATCTGCCTTTGTGACGTTCATTAGTGCCCTCACTGACACACTAACAACGACAACACAACACTAACTACACGCTAAACGTCACAAATCTCAAAAATCTCTCTCTCGCTGGCTCTGTCTCACTCCCAAAACTTTCCCGCCTTCATAAACAACCAAATGCCACGTGTTGCCGTTTTTGTATTGGTCGACAGGGTACATTTTTCCACCAATAGGAAAGAGGTGGGTTTTTTTCTTTCTTGACTGTTTT